GGGCAGCCCCGGCCCTGAGCTGCTCGTATGTTCTAGAACAACCCAGACAGACACACGGGCAGCCCCGGCCCTGAGCTGCTCGTATGTTCTAGAACAACCCAGACAGACACACGGGCAGCCCTGGCGCTGAGCTGCTCGTATGTTCTAGAACAACTCTAGGACATCACACAGCGACAGGTCCACCTGCTTTTTATCTTTTTATAAAAAAATAAAGATAAAAGACTATTCTTAGGGAGAATTATGAATTTTGACCCAAGTCACCTATTTTTCAGAACCTCAGTTGTTGCTCATCCCTTCTGTCCCTTTCATAAGCAGCGTGGTGTGCGATGGATCCGGAGCTGCTCCCCACAAGGACAGCAGCCCCTTTCACAGAGGTGGGCAAAGGCAGTAAAAGTTCAAGAGCTCGCTCAGGTGAGAGATGGGAAAACAGGAGACTCCAGATCGTCCCACAATTCTAAACTTTTGAAACACAACACAACCGTACACCAACTATTAGTGATGGCTCCCTCAACAAACACGAACCCACACACTCTCATACAACATAGTGTTAGTAAGTGTCATCAAGCTGATTCTGATTCATAGTGACCCTGTATAAGGTTTCCAAGGAGAAGCCAGTAGGTTTGAACCACCAACCTTGTGGTTAGCAGTCCAGCTCTGATCCTACAGTGCCAACCTAGGACTCCATTTTTGTTGTTAAATGCCGTCAAGTCGATACCGACCCATAGAGACCCCATACAGGGTTTCCAAGGAACAGCGGGTGAGCTTGAACCACCAACCTTATGGTTCAAATGGCTTTGCAGTTTGATGCATTAGCCCACAGCGCCACACTAGGACTCCAAGACTCCATAGACTAATGCTATAATGCAATAAAGAGTGCTTCTTCTGGAGAATAGCAATGCCCTTGTGTTTGTAGACCAAAAAGAGACTGTGAGTCCCATTTTGCAGTAACTGAACAACATACTGAACACATTCAATGTGATGAAATGAATACATGTAAAGCTTTGTGAATTTGCAGGTGGTTTGCTGTATGTAATTTGCATACCTCAAAAACACTGTTCTAAGTAAGCTCTCGTGTAGACAGTTTGCCTGGACAACTGCCCACGGAGCATAGGTAACAGAGGAAGACTCATTAACAACCTGTGATCTGCAGATGATACAACTTTGCTTGCTGAAAGTGACGAGGACTTAAAATACTTACTGATGAAGATCAAAGAGCACAGCCTTTGGTATGGATTACATCTCAATGTCAAGAAAATAAAAATCCTCACCACTGGACCAATAAACAACATTCATTTTGCTGGGATTAACAGTCAACACTCAAGCAGCAGTCAAGAAATAAAATCTGCTCCACACAACCTCTTTAAAGTGTTGAAGAGCAAAGATGTCACTTTGAGGATTAAGGTGCCCCTGACCCAAGCCATGGTATTCTCAATAACCTCATATGCATGCGAAAGCTGGACAGTGAATAAGGAAGACCGTAGAAGAATTCATGCATTTGAGTTATGGTGTTGGAAGAGAATATTAAGAGTACCATGGTTGCCAAAAGAACCAACAGATCTGCGTTGGAAGAAGTGCAGCCAGAGTGCTCCTTAGAAGCCAGGATGGCCAGACTTCGTCTCTCCTACTCTAGACATGTTATCAGAAGGGACCAGTCCTTGGAGAAATGCATCAGGCTCGGTAAAGTGGAGGGTCAGTGAAAAAGAAAAAGATGGGTCAGCACAGTGGCAGCATCAATGGGCTAACGTGTAACTAATGGTTGTGCGGTTGATGCACGACCAGGCCGTGTTTTGTTCTGTTGTGCACAGGGTTGCTATGAGTCGGTACCAACTTGGTAGCCTCTAACAGCAACAAACTGCGAGAGAGTACATTCCTGCTTGTTAAAGTCAGCCTCGTGGTATTTCTGTTATAGCAGCTCTAGAGAACTAACAGAATTCAATATTCATGAATCCTCTGGCCAAGTTCTCTGTATTGCGCTTATAACCTACATCTGACTTGTCCTTGTCTGACCTGAGATTGGGGGATTTGCCAGTTTCTGTGGTCTCATGAGCCAGCAGCCTGCTGTGTGACTTGCCTGTTTTGGGTTCATCAACTCCGGCAACTACGTGAGTTGGGAGAGGCCTCCAGACTGATGTTTGACCCATGGATTTGACCCCCAGAGTCAGGGCCTTCCCCAGTGAACTCCCTCCCCACTTTTCTAGCCCACAGCACAGGCGGAGAGACGGAGCTGTAGTTTAAGAACTGTACAGAAAAGGTTCCTCTGCTGGCTGGAAGTCAAGAGAGCTGTTCACAAGGGATGGGACACGGAAGGCTCTGAAGGGTGAGGCCTGAGTCTCCCCAGCCAGGGCTGCTTTCTCTTCAGGCTCCAGCAGGAGACACTCAGCAGAGAGCAGCAGGCCCAGGGTGGCCACAGCAACACCCATGTCTCACAAAAAGGCAACCTCAGGCATCAGAATCTTGAAAAGCCGTAGAGAGAGCACCGGCCCAGGGACTCAGGATGCCTTCTGGGGCACAGTCCCACGGCACAAAGCTGGTCCCCCGATAACTCATATACAGCCTCACCCTCTTATGGTAACAACAGCCCGGTTCTCTGTAGAACTCACCATCTCCTCGCTCCAGCTTCCAGTGAATGTCATCTCTAAGCCAAGCAGCCACTTCAGGGGAAAGGATGGGAGTGGACGCAGAGCCCTGGGCAGCCTGGAGGCAGATGAACACGGTTTGGACCACACACCAGGCCTGTGACGTAGGGAGGTGCAGGCTGGTCACCCCAGGTCCCCAGCACACTAGTTCAGGACTGGACGATTCTCCCTGCAGCACACTGGAGACCTGGACCGGAAGAAGGGAGGGCAGAGACAGTGTTGAATTAACAGAGAGTGACAGGCACAGATGGCCACTTGTCTGTCAGTTTGTCATACTGTGGTGGCTTGTCAGTTGCTGTGACTGGAAGCTATGCCACCAGTATTTTAAATAGCAGCAGGGCCTCCCATGGTGGACAGGTTTCAGATGAGCTTCCAGACAAAGACAGACTAGGAAGAAGGAGAGACAGACTATTTAGTCACTGAAAACCTTTGGAACAGCAGTGGAACACTGTCAGACAGCACCAGATTTTTGACTATATTGATATAGTGCTGGAAGATGAGCCCCTCAGCTTGGAAGGCACTCAAAATACAACAAGGGAAGAGATGCCTCCTCAAAGTAGAGTTGACTGTGTGTGATGATGCGAATGGAGTAAAGCCCTCACTCAGTACCTTCATTTACTGATAGGCACAACTCGAAGAGAAACAGCTGTAGACATTAATAATTGGAACATGATACGTACGAAGTAGGGATCTAGGAAAACTGGAAGTTTCAAACATAAAACAGAACACATAAACTTCTATACCCTGGGCATTAGTGAACTGAAATGGACTGGCATTGGCCATTTTGAATCTGACAGTCACATGATTTACTATGCCAGGAATGACAAATTTAAGAGGAATGGTGTTGCATTCATCATCAAAAAGAACGTATCAAGATCTAGCTTGAAGTACAATGCTGTCTGTGATAGGATAATAGCCACATGCCTACAGGGAAGACCAATTAATATAACTATTGTTCAAATTTATGCACTAACCACTAAGCCAATGAAGATGAAATTGAAAAATTCTACCAACGTCTTTAGTCTTAAATGGGTCAAACATACAATCAAGATGTATTTATTGATCATTACTGGTCAATGGAATGCAAAGGTCAGAAAAGAAAAAAAAAGAGTAATGATTGGTCATTGGAAAATATGGTCTTGGTGATAGAAATGATGCTGGAAGTCGCATTATAGAAACCGATGACTTCTTCACTGCAAATACCTTTTGAAACAACATAAAAGACAACTATCATCATGGACCTCACCAGATGGAATACACAGAAGTCAAACTGACTATATCTGTGGAAAGAGGTGATAGAAAAGCTCCATACCATCAGCCAAAACAAGGCCAGGGGCAGACTGTGGAACAGACCATCAATTGCCCATATATGCAAGTTCAGGCTGAAACTGAGGAAAATTAAAACAAGTTCACGAGAGCCAAAATATGACTTAGAGAGGGGAAGGGCAATACACAAGAAGGAGGGTGGAAGATGAACAATGACGACGAGGAAAGTCTTAGGGAGGTCTGCATGGGCTAAATGGGCTGGAGGTAAAGAGTGATTTTATACAATGTTGGAACAACAGTGTTCTATGAGTAGATATGGGGATAAAACATGGGCTGAATGGGTAAAGGAAGGAAAATGTTTATCTGTTTGACTGACTTGTGGATAGTGGTTTTCCCTGCCTACTACTGTAAAAAAGACGTTTCTGAGTGATAGAAATGAATATTGAGAATTATAACAGAAAGTGTGAAAGCCTGTCTTCAGTTTATAACTGATTGGATCTGCTAACAGGGAAACTAGAATTTTCACAGGGAAATAGGCTTCTTGTGAAGCCTTTGTAGAGTATGGGGTCTTAGGTGGAATTCTCAGCTTCACCCAGGACCTCATGAGTTGGGGCATTTCTACTTGAAAAGACATGTAGACCAATGCAGAACTGCAGGGAGAACAGGAGATCCTTATCAAAATAAAGATGTGCAGAAAAAAATGGACTATTCAGCTGTCTGAATATGAAGTAAGCTGTTTGCTTTAGAGGCATCAAAGAGAGAAAAGTCAGCCCATCAAGGAAAACCCCCTCTAGGACTGAAACTCAAAGGGATCCAACCCATGAGCAGTCTAATATTCTTACTAGTGACCACCTGGGTCTCCTTATGACTGGAAGTGGGGGCATGCAGCAGTGAAGACCTGGGCTGAGTCGGCCCATGCTCCACTGGTACCTGTTAACCTCAGGATGAGAGAAAAAGGAAGGTCTGGCTGGTCTGAAGTTCAGGGAGATGTGTGAAGTCCTGAGCCACACACAAAGAAAGGGGGCATAAAATAACACCATTTAAAAAACAAGAAGAGAGAACAAACAAGATGGTGGATCAGGTGGAAGTACAGTAAGGAGCTCCATCAGCAACAACACAGAATACCTGACCAAGCAGGCTCAGGCGATGGTGCCAGAACTCTGAACCACATATAGAGGAATATTTAGGTTGGAAGGCTTATAGCTGGGAGAATTTGTAGCAGAAGGAAGAAATCCATTGCTTTCTAATTCAAGACGCTCAGCTGCTCCAGGAACCGCCATCTTGGGTGAGACCAAGCGGGAGAAGGATCAGTGCAGCCATGGACGCCTAACAAAACTGCGGAGATAAAGGTGTGGACATTCTTTTCTTTTGGAATCTTCATTGGTCCCTTGCTGTCTGCGCCACCTCCATTCTGGTGACTACAGGGGTACCTGAACTAGTGG